ACAATTTTAACCTTCAAATTTGTTTCTCAATCGGCATATTAATGTGTGTCTTGATTAATATTTTAGAATTCTATGAAAACTCGACGATATAATGAACTTGTTGGATATTCTGTTAAATAATCGTTTTTTTTTCTGTACTTCTTCACATATAATATTTAATAGAGATATATGTAAGAGTTTTTCATAAAGAATATGTTATGATATTGTATGAAAAATGGGATCTAGGAAATCTTTTTGAATTCTTATCAAACTTCGTAGATGCATAAAAAATCAATAGCTTGAAAGAGTTTTGAAAATAAATTCGATAATACATTTGATTATCTAATTTTCGATATTTAATTCGAGTGATATTCAAGATTATCTTGCTATCCCTATTATCCGCATAATATTTCTCAAAGTAATATAATAACATAATGTTAATAATAGTTTGATTAGACTATAGGGACTTCCACAATTGACATTTGTTAGTATCCATATCAAATGTGATAATAGTGAAATTATGAATCGTTTCCATAATAGTTTTTATCATAATATTGTTACCTTGTCAGAGACTCTTTATATTGATTTGAAGACCATCATTGAACGACATGATACCCATCATTTTAATCAATGTTTGTCCATCAATAGATCTTTTCTTGCCCCATACCATGGATTTTTGTTTAATGATTCCTTGTAATACTCTACGATGACGTAACATTTTACATAGACGATTAAACGCAGTTTCTAATTTGATTAATTTAGCTGCAAACGATTGCGATGCGCTCTGTAATATTAAATGTAACGCTACTTTGGATCAATGGAAAGATACGAGCTACTTGTTCGATATTGTAGAAGGATATTGTGGACGTTCATTGAAAAGCAAAGATAAAATCATTTTTATGAAATGAAATGTTATTCTATTGTTTTTAAATAGATTTTTCAAATGTCGAATATGTTTTATTGAATTTTATTGATGTTACTTTTAACGAATTGACTTTCGAAAAAGTAACAAGGATGAAAAGTCTTATTATACGAACAATAAAGAACATTACAAGATTAGATTTAATATATTGTCATTCAAAAAAAAGAATGTACGAATGCTGTAGTTTACTCTTAAGTATACTAATAATACGATAAAATTGATATGATATATATGTATATAAGTAGAATCAATAAGTTTTACGTAAGCACTATGATATCTAATGATAAGACACCACATATACTTTTGATTTCGTCTCTCGTAAATCAAATCTTTAGTTAACTGTGTGATAAAAAATAATAGAAGGATTATCTAAAGAAAATATCCACTGTTTAGAGATGTACACTTTCGATTGCAGGACTATTATCTTCAGGGCATACTAAAAATAGTGACATTGATCCTTTCTTTTAGTCTATAACGGACTTGGAGGATTTTTTGTTCTATACAGGCGGATAGAGAAAACGAAGCTCTATCTTTCTAGTTATATTGATATCAATTTTCAATTGTCTACTATGAAATGGAACTCTCGATCGAAGATTTGCAAACTAGAGAAGCCTGTGATAAATAATATACGTTTGAACTCAATCTCTTATATGAGTGTATAGAAAAAGCTGTCACAAAACTTCACTTTTGCACCTTTTGCTTCGTTTATAAAAAAAAGTCACATGTTTTTGACACTTAGAAACTTGAAGAAAAATTTTGAGAAAATCTGCATTTGTTCTTTCTAATGATGAAAACCGTATTTGTCTACTTTGTTTGAATGATAAGTTATTTTTAAAAAAAGGGCCAGTGTCAGTACTTTTGGTATGCCCTAAGTATGATAGCAAAACTGAATTTTTATAAAACCGTGACCACTTTATTCAATATCTAGATGAAAAAGATCGAGATGTCTGTATAAGTATTCTTTTTTCTTTCTTTCTTTCCCTCTGGTTATAAGCTTCGCATGTCATTGAGTACGGACGAGTCAAGAGTTCATGCATATTGTTCATCACACAAGATCGATTTTTCTCTCCATTACTAACATCTACATTAATTTGTAAATCATTGATTTCATTAATGATGGAGACAAAAAGTACATGCACGCCGATACCAGAAGAACAACGGAAAGCAGTTGATAACTACGAGAAACAATTCCGCTTCTTGTTCGGTTGCCATCAAGAAATTGACGGACATTTATAATATCAAAAACATAATTAGTCGTGTTTACTCACCTTCTTCTTTCCCACTCGAGAAACTCTTGGATATAGGATGTGGTAACGGTTTATTCGCACGAGAAATGATTAATGATGGTATTGTTAAATTCGTAATTGGCGTAGACGTTTCTAAAGACATGATTGATTTATCTATTCAAGAAAATAAATAAAATGATCAACGTTATCAATATTTAGTAAAAGATGTTTACAGTTTGTTACCAGATGATGTAGGTGGAACAGTTCCAGTGATCATTTCGATTTACTTATTACAATATGCAACGACAGTAGATGAGCTTTTCTCGATGTTGTTTGCAATTCGTCGTGCATGCGGTAAATTTTACATTGGTCTTGTTCCAAATCCATCTTTAATAGATAATGCTAAGAAAATGAAGAAATATGGAATGGATATTTGTTTTCACAAAGATATTAAAGATGGTGATGATAGTTTCTCAATTATCTTTGACTTTGATGAACCAAGTTCGTTTACTGTCACAAACTTTTGGTATTCACTTGAAACATACGAAAATATATTTCGAAAAGCTGCTTTTCGTACATTCGAATGGGTCAAACAGCATATCAATCCACAAGCAACAGAAGAACAAAAAATATTTTTTGCTGATTATAATCAAATAGGCATGAGTTTTATAGCTGGGATTTAAATTTTTTACCACATAATTCTAACAATAGTTATTTGAAATATCGTTTTACACAAAAAACCATACACTTCTCTAATTAAGGTAAATTGTACACTTGGTTTTCCCCACTGGTTTCTAAATAATCTCACTAACATTCGTAGTCTCTTCTTATACATAATGTGACGATAGCAATAAAATGGGTGTTGGTGTGAGTAGGGGTATATTTCGTCCACATCCTTATTATTAATTACTTAATAAAATGATTCCAACAATATTTATTCTTCTCATCGTTTACTTTTTATTCTAATAAGTTGGATATTTTCTAGATATACTATTGTAACTATTCTTTTCATCAAAAATCAAAATCTAAAATTAAGATTTAAAAAAAAATAAATAATTCTTAATAGAATTTTCATATTTCTTTTCTTTTTTTTAGATGACAAAATAAAAAGATTTGAAATTCTTATTAAAAATAATTCTATTTAAAAAATAAAATACCTTGATTTCTTAACAATCAAATCAAAACAATTTCTTTTTATTAAATAGTATAGATTAACAAAACCGTCTTAACTTCCATTCAAATCAATTAAATTATTTAAAAAAAAATCTTTCTTTTATATTCAATAGGGTCTATATTCTATTCAAATTTTATAATTAGTATAATAAAAAATTATTGAGCAAATCTTCCTAAGATTATTCATTTATGGATCATGAAACCTTTGATTTTCTACTATAGAAAAGTTTCTATTTATTGATAAATATTTTTCATCTCCATATAAATAGTATATTAATAAACAAAACTAATCACTATTTTATTCTTTTCGTTCTCTCGTCTTTGTGTTCTTATTTCTAATACATGAAGTTGTATGATATGAGCACAAGTGGAAGATAGAGTAATATACTGAGGATAGTGATAACATTACCTCATCCGTTCGACGTTGTAATCAGAATAAAATAAATATTCGAACAGGGATAAAATAATCTATAGATCTTATTCTTTGGTACAATATTCTATCAATTTTGTTTTCTATTTCAAAGTGTTAACTATCTTCATTGATTATTATCATAGAGTTTTTCATAAAAAAACAACAGATCAATGTAAAACATCTCGAATTATTTTTGTTAAAATTTTCCATAAAAAAAAATGTTTTTGTAAAAGAAAAAGCTTTTCATTAATATAGATTAATTTGATAAAGAAAAGTAAATACGATTAAATTTCTCTATATTTATGTATGTCTGTTCGTATCTGTACCTCTATACAATCCAACCTATAATAATACAGATTTTCGTTTCTTTTCCACCTTTAGATTAACTAACGGATAGAAGAATCTCATATAACATTTGAATGTCTGAACAATGTGGAGACAGATTAGACAATCTTTTAATTAAATATATATTTATTTATTTATTTTCTATATTATTCAATAAGATATAACGAAATAAACTAATTCCGTCGATTATTTTATTTTAAAGTCAGTGATACTTTTCATCTCTATACAAAGTAATTCTTAACACAAAATAACGTGATTTTTCTTTCCTTTTCGTTCTGTTTCGACTATTGATAAGCATTGCAATGTAGAAAAAAGATATTCGTTAATATTTTTCACCCTTTTTTCATAATTTTATGATGATAATAAGTTTGATTATAGTTTGAAAGCTTGACTATTACTTTAAAATCAAATGAAATGGAATTTTTGAACTGTTGATGTTGTTAACAAGAATTAAATATCGACTCAAATAATAATTGTTTGAAAAAGCTCTAAAATATGTCTATGCGATTTAGAAATTGATTTGATTTCTTTTTCATTAGTCTTCAGTATATTTCTATATTGTCAGAATATTTCAACTTTTTATATTAAAATTGATTTTTGTTTTATTTGTATTCTATATATATTTTTTCTTGTTCAGATAATTTGAAAAACATTAAACGATTAAAATCAGACTGATTTCTATGAGAAAAACGTTGAAATTAGACGAATATTTCAATGAAGATTTGTTTTGATTTTCTACGAGTTAATAATGTTGAAAATCTATTCTTTTTTTTCTTTGAGTTTAAACTTAACATTTCTCATTTAATTATCTTTGTTAAACTTGTTTGATAATTGTACCAATGTTCGTCCTCTTCATATCATTTTGTTGTTATTTCATATTTAACAAGACATTTAATTCAATTATTAGAAAGTGAAATATTCTTAGGAAAAAACGTTCAAAATATATTTAAAAGAAAAATATGAACGATTGGATGAGATAGAAAAGTAATTATTAAAATCGATTCATATGTAGAAATAGAAATGTAATTAAATATGAAATTCGATACGTAGAAGTAAATGAAGAATATTATTTTGGTCATTGAGTTAATTCATATTTATTTATTAAAGATTTAACAGTCGAATGATATAATATCGAAGAATTGTTACCTGCATGTATAAATAATTTAATTTAATCATCAATGAATATTTTCTTTAGATTTTTCACAAAAATTTCTTCCTAATGCTTTATTCCCATCATTTGAAGATTAAAGAAGTAAATGAGTAATGATATACTGTTGTTAGAAAATATTTTTCACATTGAAAATAAAATCGAATCTGATATTGGACTAATGCGTTTACGCGATACATAAAAATAAAATAGAAATCAAGTAGCAAATGGTGAAATAATCAAAAAAAATTAAATAAAAACAATTGAGTGATTAGTCAAAGAAAAATTTCTTACTCGATTTTTCTCTAATTTATTTGTTTCTAGTCTTGGAATGTTATGATTTGAGACGTGTTACATATAATCATAGATTAATGTGGATGCAAGAAGCATTCGATCATTTAAATAAAGAAATGAATAAAACATCTAGAAATAAAATTCATACTTTAGATTATCTTATTTATACAACATCACAAGTAAAAGAAAAGAATTTTTTTTTCTCTCTTTATTCTCAATTAAATCTGGTATTTTGTCGGTGGGAAATATTGAACATACTTTAGCAGTAACTGAAGAAATGCTAACAATTGATAAATAATATTTGATTTGTTTTTATTAAAAATAAAATATATTTGAATTTCTCCAGCTCCGTCTCATGTTCATGATAATAAATACAAAAATTTATTATGAAATTATTAGAAAAAATCGAAGATGAACTAAACAAGAACGAAAAGATGATATAAATACAAATGATAAACAAAATTTAAAATTATTTCGAACAGTTATACAAACGAAAAGTGCTAAAATACATAATGTAAGATCCGATGATTATTTCGAAGAATGTGAAATATATGACAAAATCGAGCACAATTAATATATTTCGAAATAGTCTTTCTACAATTTTACTTTATCTAGTGAAGTCGAAAACATCAAGCAAAATTATTTTCTTGTTATCGTCATAAGAAGCATCCATCTCTTATTTGAAGTTCTATTAGAGAAATAAAGAAATGAAATGAGTAGCTTCACCAAGAGTATCTATTATATATACATCGAAATAAGAAATATTAGAAAATCTACTAAAAAGAAAATTGTTGCTCTTTACAGTTACAACATACTGTCATTCACGATTTTGTGACTGATACTTTTAAACCAACTGATTAACGAATCAATAAGAGTTACTAAGAAATAAAAAATCTCTTTATTGTTAATTGTTTACACATGTAGAAAATTGCATATTATGTTGTTCGAATGATTTTATTTGTAGTTGAATATATAGTAGAATATTGTCTCTATTTTGTAAAATGAAAGATCGACGAGAGATATTTGAGGATTTTATAGAAATTATTAAGGAAACAAAAATATGATTGGAACGTTTTTCTCAAAAACAATCATTCGCTGTGAATAATGTTGTTTTTAAATAAATAAAATAGATATCATTTCCTAAATTATTCATATTTGAATTTCTTTCTTTATTATATTTGTTCAATGCAGATTCTATATACAAAACTTCAATGAATACGAAGGGTTTATGAAAAAAATCTGAATGAGAGAAGAATAGAGATAATTTATTCAATGAATCTCTAAACATTTTTCTAGATTTAAAACATAAATCTCATGAAGAAAATTGTTTTGATGAAAACTTGAGTCTGTTAGACTAAAATCTGTATATTTCATCAAATATTAAAAAGAATTTTTCTTTATTTTCATTTCTATTTTATGAATATTTAATCTAAGATAATTATTTCTAAATATGTTTGTAGCCAAGCAGAGCGGTTATACAAAATCGTAAAACATGAAAACATGAACATGACCGTTATAGAATGAGCAGAGAGTACGAACTAAGAAAAAAACAAAAAATATAATTTTCATATTTAATTTCAATGTGTGGCAACTAATTATTGCTTTTGTTCCTCAAACCTCAAGACTTTTCATCGTTCTTAACTGATCATAGTTAGATTTATTGTTTTGTATCTATCGACAAATATCGATATAATCTCAAGTTTAATTTTGATTTTATTTTTAGTGGTTGATTGAGAAATGAAGATTTACTATTCGTTTCTCGTTTATCTCGATTAATTGAAGGTGTAACAAACATGAGTATGATATTAGAGAATAGAAAAATAAAATAATTCGATTGAAAATTATGATGTTGGTGATCATTATGAGCACATTTTGATTTTAGATGATTAAGTTATGAATATTTATTTGTTAAAGTTAGAAATGAGAGAAAGATTCTTTTTTAAGTCTTGGTGCATGTGAGTTGAAATACTCTATGAGAACTAATATCATAATTTTTATTTTCTAACAAATCGTATTACTAATGGTTACTTTATGTAAGTTAAGTGGATATTATTAGAAGTTTGTTATAATAATAATAATAAATCTTTCTAGTTGAGTGATGTCAAACAAAGTGGTGCAACAATTTTTCCTGTAGTTGGCGATCATTTGAAAGAAAAGAAAAAGAAGTGCTGCATTGTGGCATAATGTTTATGTATCAGGTGAAGATTAGATAATCAGTTAACTTTATTTTTTCTGGTATATCTAAGAAATAATTTGTTATCTTTTCAGAAGATTCCAATAGTCGTCATGCAGATATTTTTTTAATTTTATTA